ATTATATATTCTCTAAATTGGCTTGTACAGAGGATAAGGGAATACCACTATCTATAATGCTCAATGAACTCTTCTACATACCTCTCAACTACCAAAATAAATATTTCGAATGTAGATTATTATAGAGAATGACTTATTCTAGACCATGCATGGATATGGACTTAATAACAATAATTAACATAACCAATACTACAATAATAAAATTGTCCAAAATCAAGTTTATTTTACAACACGTCCCCATAAACTTGATTTGGTCACTCCAAGTGCATCTCTTAGCTTGACAGAGACTTCATGCTTCAATGGTTAGGTGAAAATATTTACTAATTGATCTTGAGTCTTCATATACTTCAATCTACTTCATTTCTTTTATGCTCTCTTATGAAGTGATACCTTGTATCAATATGCTTTCTTTAATCATGCTACACAGGATTATTTGCTAATGCAAAAAGAAAATCAAAAGAGCAAGTTCCGACCTTGAGGTCTATTATTGTCTTCCCCCTTATGTATTGCCAAGCGATACGTCTTCTTCATGGTTGGCCTTCGACTTGCTTCTTCTTCAATATTCTTATTTGTTGTCAATGAAAGTCATTGTAGACTCATCTTGTGTTATAGTGAATTCTTTCATCAAATTTTTTAACCAAATATCATTGCAAACACATGAAGTTGTGAAAACATACTCCATTTCAAAAGAAGTGTGAAAATTGGTTTTTTTTTTTTTTTTTGAACTCCAAGTGAAAGCAGTATCTCCGATGAAAAATGCAAATCCCATTGTTCTTTTCCTTTCATCCCAGCATAGAGTCCAATTGCTATCAATATATCCAACAAGTTTGAAATGATTAGAGGATGAATAAAAAAATCGTAATCAATGGTACATTTTATATAACAAAAAATCCTCTTTGCAGCATTCATATGGAAAACAGTTGGTGGCTCCATGTAAAGGCTAACAAGGCCAACTTCATAGAGAATTTACCTTTTATGTACATGTTAAATATCGCAAGTTTCCAACAAGACTCTTGAAATCTATGGAATTTACCTTTTCTCCATCTTCAATTCTTGACAACTTAATTCCACAATCAACGTGTGTATTTATTGGTTTGCATTCTCACATATTGAACTTCTTCAGCATCTCTTTAGCTAGCCTTCTCGAGAAATAAAAATACCTTCATCACTTTGCTTCGCTTCTATGTCAAGATAGTATGCCATCAGTTTAAAATCAGATATTTGGAAATCTTTGGTCATACTCTTTTTGAATTCTTTGAACATACTCGGAAAAATTTCAATTAGGATCAAATCATCAACATACAAGCATAATATCAACTTGTCTCCATTTTTGTTCATCTTGACTGAAAGAACATGTTAATGGGGACACCTTTTTAAATCATTATCTTGAAAATACTTGTCAATTTAACTGTAAAATGTCCTTGGTGCTTACTTTAATTTATATAAAGCATTTTTCAATATTAAGATTTATCTTCTTTCCCTTTACTGTATAGCCAAGTGGTTGTTCAATATAAATTTCTTCTTCAAGATATCCATTTAAAAAAGTAGATTATTTGTCCATTTGATGAATTTTCCATTTATTTTGAGCAGCTAAAGAAATATTCAATCTTATTATTTCTAAGCAAGCAATGGGAGCAAATACCTCTCCACAGTCATTATTGGATCTCAACTATATTATTTGGCAATCAATCTTACTTTGTATCTTTCAACTTCTCATTTAACATTCTTCTTTGCTTTATTTATCTTCTGAAAGTGGTGCTAGCTCCTATATATCATTCTTTGAGATTACTCTAATTTCTTCATCCATTGCTTCTTGCCATTTCGTGCTTTGCACCGCTTTTTTCAAAAACTAATGTTTTACAATCCGCAAGAAGACAAAAGAGTGTTAGTTCATTTTCGGTTATCTCATATAGTTCTTGTAAGCTCCTTCTCGGCATGTTTGAACACGAACCTTCACGTGATAAGTGTCTATGTGGGCTTGTTTGTTGAATAAAGTAGAGTTTTATGCTCTTCCATTCTTATCTTGCTTGCTTTATCTCTCTTTCTTGTTCCTCTTCGATAATGGGACGATATTTATAGTCGCCTTCTTGAGTGTTCGGCCTCCATGAACCTTCATTAAATTCAACGTCTCGAATAGTGATAACTTTTTTGGTGGTTGGATTATAAGCTTATATCCTTTAGATCTTGAATCATAGTCGATAAAGAGAAAATTTTCACTTTTATCATCGAGCTTGAATATATTTGGTCGGGCAAGCGAGCATAGGAAATGCTTCCAAAGACTTTCAAGTGTGAGATGTCGGGATCTCTTCCACTCCATGCTTCCAGAGGTGTCATTCTCCACAAACTTGTAGCTGGAGATAGGTTGAGCAAATAAATCGCACAGTCCACCACTTCAGCACAATATTCTTTTAGCAATCTTTTGATCTTTAGCATGCTTCGAGCCATATTGAGAATGGTTCTCTTTTTCTTTTCAACAATACCATTTTGATAAAGGGATCTTGGAACCGTGCGAGGTCGATGAATCGCATTTTCTTCACAAAAAATTATGAAGATTTTCAAGTGGTTCAATCCAAATATATACAAGAAGCTCAAAGCATGGGCATAAGAGTTCCACTTGCTACTCGCTGAAGATTGCTTATCCACTAACTCTATCTTATGTAGTATGGTGGCCAATTAACCGAACTAAATGGAAGCCAGGGAACGCAGTTGCCAAGAGCAATTCCAATCTATCGTAGACTTAATCATGTTAGGCTGAAGGTGACTGCCTTCTTGGATGAACATATATTATTAGAGATCATTTTGGTTTGCCTATTAGTCCTAGGATTTTTGAGAGAAGCATGTAGCCTTTGCTTATAGAGAGGCCTGAAATATTTCAACTTGCGAGTAAGAAAGTTCCAAAGGAGTTTGGAAGAAGATCAATGAGCATAGGTTCTATTTTTCATTCTTTCCAACTTGCTCCTATGACTCAGAAGAAGAATAAGCACCCAAACCAAGATCTGTTCAAGGAAATCAAGACTATTTAAGGCCAGCCAAAGGTGTTGAAAGTGCAGCATTTCCCTGGTAAGAGAACAAGTAGGTGTAAATGTTGAGTTCTATGAAGGTGAACTCAATGGAATTAGTTATAGCTACTATGAAACAATATGCTAGATGCCCTCAATTAGGTGAAATTTTTGAATTAGATTGTGCTACTAATCTGATTAGTGTTTTTCATAGCAAGAAAAGCGAAATGGGAAAAAAAGAGTTAAGTTCTAAATGTGATTTTTCGGAAGACGAAGACAAAGAAGTTTTATAAAGATGAGGCCAGTTCGAACTGCCGCTAAATCCATAGGCAAGCAAGAGACAAACCGGCTTTGGTTCCTTCACTGCTTTCTGAAACTGGCCCATTTACACTGCAATCTTTCTTCCAACAATACTGGAAGTGGTAAGTGACTGAGCAAAGGCTGGTCAAATGTACCTATTGGAGGACAACAAAGGATGCGTTCATTTGTGGGAATTTAATTCTTACTCAAAAATCAAACTAGGAATAGATGTCAAAAGTTTTAAAAAGTGGGGTTGGGATCGTTTGCACATAATTTTTTGACCATTTCCCTTTCAACAAGCACTTTAAATTTTATGAAAATACCGAACACCTAGAATTTTTCTTTAGAAAAAAACCTGTACTTTTCTACTAAAATCATCGATAAATAGAAGAAAATAATTGCTCTTTCCTAGGGAACTAAGATGGATCGGCCCACAGAAATTGATGTGAATGTGTTCTAGTGGCTTCTTTGCTATTATGCCTGCGTTTAGAAGTCTCTTTCAAGAATTCTTCCTAAGTGGACATCCTTTGGAAATTGATTCAGTTTATTGAATAATGGCAATCATTTCACAATTCTCTTCTTAGGATACCAACTCCAAATCATCAAAATTGAGATGCCCAAACCTTAGATTTCATAGCTATGATATATCTTTTACACAAACCTTCAAGCATTTTGCAACATCATTTGGATATTCTATTATTTGTCATTGGTACCTTCAATCAAATTACTTTTACAATCTCTTAATGAAAGACTTTTTTCTTTAATATGAATATAATATCTCTTTTCTAAAAGTTGAATCAAGTCCAAAATATTATTCTTCATGCTAGGCATATAATAAACATTTGAAATAATCGATGATTTCCAATTTTCAAGTGTATAAGGATATCATCTTTGCCTCTTACCGAAATTTTGGATTCATCACCAAATATGGCGTTGCCACTCACTGATTCATCAAGAACAAACCTATTTTTATTTCCACACATGTGATTGCTAGTACCAGTGTCGAGGTACTAAGTGTTTCATTCATTCTCTCCTTTCGTATGCCAATAGCAAAGGGGAGTTATGTTCCTTCTCATTTTGTACACAAAATTTGCTTCTTCAACAACTTGATT